GTGGTGCCCTGTTTGGGCAGGGGGGTGGGCTGGGGCACCCACAGAGGTCCCTGACAACCCCTGCCATGCTGGGATTCTGTGATTCTCTGGGGCTTGCGGGCAGCGGAGCCACCCTTCATGCCAAACCCTGCCAATTACTGTCCTGCCGCTTCCCTTTCCAGGTTTCGGTGTAGCTGCCAGTCACCTCCCTACAGAGCAAAACGAGAAGGCAGGGTGAGTGCAGCCCAGAGCTGGCAGCTATGCTGAGCCACCGATTTTTTTTTGCGGAGCTGTGAGCCTCGTAAGAAATGCCGTTTCGCGCGGCGAGGCTGTTGTGTTTGGGACGGAGGGATGCAGCGTTCCCGTGCAGCTGGGGCGCGGCATCGCCTTGCCTGGGTTGTAGGATGTTGCTCAGAGCTCTCCTTGTTTTGATGTGTGAAAAAATCCTCTCACCCCTACGGATGCTCGCTATAAGCGGGGTCAAAGCGTCGCTCTGCTTCCCGCTGGAGCTCGTGTGCGGCCAGCCCTCCATGCAGCCCACCCCGGTGAGGGACGAGCAGTGATCTCGGGTACAGCGTGATTTACAGCACAGCACCATTTCCGCCACTCTCTGAGACCGTTTGTGAGAGCAATCTGAAAGCTGCTCTGTGCCTGGTGCCCGCAGCTGCTGTCTGAAGGGTCGCAAGTGTCTGGGTGGCTGCTGCGCTGCCCTCCAGCCGCGGTGGGTGCTCGGGAAGGGCCCGGCAGCAGTGGGACCCCCAGTGAGGCCTGCAGGAGGTTAATCAAAGGGCTCAGTGCCATCTGATCGGCCCCCTAATAAGTGCTGGGAAGGTGATCACGGCTTTAATGGCACAGCAGGAAGAAATCCATATAGAAGGCTGTTGGCTCTGCGGGGTTATGCTGTAGCAGGGGCTGGGGGAGCACACGGGCTCCTCGCTGCTTGCCAGCCAGCCCAAACCAAGGATGACCGCCAGGCTTGCAGGCAGGTATTTGTGAGGGTGAGCACCCTCCTCCCCGCTCCCAGCGCTGTTTTCCTCCCTTAGCCCGCTGTGCTGCTGCTGTATTGAGGGTCTGTCTGGTCTCGCACTTTCAGATCAATCTCCGTGCCACGAGGGATGCCATGGGGCTGCCGTGCTGTGACAGCACCAGGGCTGTTAGCACCAAGTTGACGTGTCAGCTCCTGCCTCCTCAGACCGCTGCTCTTCGGGACTTGGCAATGCAGCATTTTGCTCCTGAGGGGCTCCTTGTTTGTCCACTCTCTTTCAGCCCGGGCGGTGAACCGCTGCAGGAAGAAGCTGTTGGTGTGGGGGCCAGCTGCTTTCCCGTCTCGAATGCCTGCACTCATAATGACTCTCTTGTAGGTTTGTCTACGTGTGGGACACCACATCCAGGAGGATTTTGTACAAGCTGCCAGGCCACGCTGGGTCGGTGAACGAGCTGGCTTTCCATCCAGAGGAACCCATTAGTAAGTCCTCCCTACCTTGGGTTAGCTGAGGAAATAGTTTCAGGGCTGACTGACCTGCTGATCTTCTGGGAAACAGCCCCGAAATTGCCTGGGGCCCAGAGCCCCGAGTACCAGAGATCAATTTAGGGGTAGCAGAGTGCTGCCTGCTGCTCTCCCGCAGACAGGAGCTGGGCTGGGTGTGCCCTGGGGTCCCGGGCTGAGCGCGGGGGCTCTGCTTGCGTGTCCTGCCTGGGGGCAGACCTGGGTGGTCTGGGTGGTGGTCACTAGGGGGTGGCCCTGAGCTGTGGCTTTGCTGGCGCTGCCCCTGCGGCGGTGACACC